AGAAAATGGTCCCACCATCTTCCCAAGCAGCCTGCTTCCAAAATGAAGGCAAACCCCCAAGTGCAGGACGGAAACTGAACAGTCTCTATTCAAACATCCTCCCCAAATCAACTTCACCTCTTTGCCGTAGCATGTATGCTTTAACTCAGACCTTGTTAGAGCTCAATCTCAAAATACCATCGGACAAATGGAAGGAGACTCCCTCACAAGACCAGCTGAATATCGCCTCCTCACTTCCCGACTCCATTCTACTGCATCCAATCGATCCCATCCCCCCCACAGCCCATAAACCAGTTTCGGAAAAAATTCCTCCACTCTATCGAGTAATATTTCTTCAAGACCTCAAAAATTCAAAGTTCCCTGGTTGGACCTTTGCCTGGGACCAAGCCTGGGAAAGCAAGTGGAATCAACTGCTCTCGAAATTTCTCCTCAAACACTGGAATCACGCTTTCAAGTCTGGGGCATTCAAAGCTTTCCACCTTGATCCTACAGAAACTTCTGAAGAGATCATACGCACTGGTATTCTACACCGATGGTTTCTGGGACGGAAGGATGGTCTTCGGTTGGGACATTTCTCTGCTGAACGTAGGAATGAAAAGAAGAAGTCTGAAAAGAAATCCAAATTACGATTACAAGTAAGAATTTTCTCAAAAGTCAACTTCATCTGGGCTATTACTGAAGAAAAACATCATCCTGATTTTCAGCTGCAGAAGCATAGACAGGAGACCCTCTCAAAACTGTCTGTATCCCTAACTGAGATGGAACTCTTTGATAACATCAAGTGTTGCTCCGAGACCGAAGCCACCCCAGGCAAAACAGTCAGGCAAATTCCCCTCCCTTGGCGTTCAGAAGAGTTCAACACCCTGGCCCGTCAACTGGACGAGATCAAGATCCACAAAACCCACAATACTAAAGGACTACACTTTGTCAATTCATTTAGTCTTGAACATAAGCGAGCTACCTCAACATCCTCGGTCGCAATATCTTTCCGCAATGTTCCACGCAATCTACCAAGAAACTGCTATGCAGAAGAATACCTAGCCACCTTGTCTGAGCTTGATGTCAAACTTCTAAATCCCAAGCCACCAATAGATTTTCAGAAGTTATTGTCCTTGACCAAAGTTTCGTGTAAGTAAATCATCTTCTTATTGCACCCTAATTTAACATGTTACTCATAAGAAGCTGTGCACACTCATAATCCTCATTTCCATGCGATGGTACACTCAGCCTGAAATTCAAAGTCAAGTACGTCCCAAAGAATACGTCAACTACTCCATGTATGGATACAGAGAGACCATTGAATTCTTACATTGCCAATTCCCCTTTCCTACTTTTTACCTGATGTATATTCATTTCCAGACTGCCTTGCACATAGTATCGGTAGACATGAACCTCGTTTGTCTGTCCAAGGCGATAGAGACGATCTACAGCTTGATTTTCCATGGCCGGATTCCAATTCGGTTCCTTGAACATCAAAATTCTTATCAGCATATTCAGTTACACAGAAGAAATGATTCCTCCTTACCATCATGTACACATTTTGTGCACACCTCAAATCAATTCCTACCCCCGCCGCTTGTATTGAGCCTAGAAGAATGTTGCAGTTGGGATCTGTTCGAAATCTAGCCAGGTTCTCATCTCGTTTTGCTATACCTAAGGTCCCTACAAGCCATGTGCAACCCATTTGTTTCTCTTTGAGTGCCTTTTCAATTCTTCATCATGCCATACCTCATCAGTCTTTATTTAGCCTCTTTGACAAAATCTCCAATGAAGAATATCACTCACATCTCAAGAAAAGCCACAAAGCTCGAGAATACTACTGCTTTGGGCCTTAAAATCCCCCTTCCACCCCGCAAGAATCGCTCCAGGTTATCCACAAGATGGACCAGTTTTGCGGAGTCTTGCCATCGCCAGTTCTTTTGGTGAGGAATTTCGTCACGTGCAAAAATCGGATGATTGCAGAACTGCCGTATCATTGTCAGCTGTTTGAAAAATTCAGTCGAATCCCATGGCTCGCCGGATGATCGAAGCCGTCCAAAGTACTGAATGAATGATTGGTGAAACCCTCTTGAGAAATCATCCCATGGGCCACCCAAGCTCACAACAACCACGTTTTCTATCTTGGAAGGCAAATTCAAGAGCACATCCTTCGTCCTCCTCAAGCATACAGTTTCCATTAAGCGGTTCAACGTCTGAATGGCTTCTTGGGATCCAACGTTAATTCCAGGTATAAGGTGTGACTTCCAGATCCACTCCTGGTTCCAAGGCCAAATCTTCAATAGAAATATCAAGCTTTGGACATCGGTGAGTCGATTCTGGAATGGGGTTCCCGTCAGGCATAAGATAAATCTTGACTTCAGCTTTTGAATGTTCAAAGTCCTGTTGGCTGTTGGGTTACGAATCATACTACATGATTTGTAATGTCAGACTCGTTATTAACTGATAACTCAATACATGCACCAGGTTATTGTTACTTACTGAGCCTCATCCAATACAATTCTGAACCAACAGATATCCAGGGATTCAATGGTTATTTGATTGGTATGCAGTGGGTTTCCAGATGTTCCAACCATCTCGTAGGTTGTCAAAACAACAAGCGATGACAATAGCGATCCTCTGTCAATTCTTCCTCGGTCTCTTCCATGAAAGATACAGTAAGGTAAGGCTCCCCCGTCAAAGTGAATCTTGATCTCATTTTCCCAGTTTGACAAGGTTGCTAACGGACAAATAATCAGAGTGGCTGAAGATCGAACTAGATGGTTGTCGGAACCGCTCATCTGGAATCGGTTTGCCAAATGAGATGTTGCCAGAACTAACGCAAGGCTGGTTAACGTTTTTCCTAAGCCCATGTCATCAGCAAGTATGGATCCTCGGCTAGTAAATTGGTCTGTTTCGTCAAGTCGTAGTTCAGAAGGGTTACTACATCGTCGTATCCAACTATTGATGGGGTGGTTCCACAAGTCTTCAATTGTGTTTTGTTGGGTAGACTCGTTTCTCTTGAGGAAATTTAGAGCTGTGTATTGGTGGTCTTTCAAGGTGGTTACACAGTTTTTGAGAGTAGACCGAAAAGAATCATCCTCTTCTGGCGTGCTGGTGAGGGTTGGTGTAAACGATGTTTGGGGGATATTGAAAAAGAGGCTGGGATCGTAGTTCCAGATGGGAGAGAGATTGATTTGTGCCCGAGAGAAAGCTGATGAAATAGTGGCCTTGTTTGAGTCAAGACCAAATATGCATCCCCTCAGTTGAGGATCATTACAGGTTTTGGTAACAAGGAAAGCTCGAATCTTTATCAGGGATTTTTCAGAAGAGATCATTCCTTCTTCTGTTATTGGTGTTGAGCAGCTGCCCACCCGACCTAACAATGGACCAAGGAACTTGCTTTGAACTTCACTGAGATCTCCAACCAATCGTCTTGGGTAACACCACACATGCACTCGATCTGTTCCTCGTTGTAGGAAGGCCTGTTGTGGGTGATCAGGGAGGGAATCTGAGGTAGGAGAATGTAGACGTGTGACAAATTGACCCAGGCATAGTGTGTTTGACATGTTGGATAGAAAAATCAGTAGACCGATTTGAGGTTGTGAAGGATGTGGGGGTTGGAATAAGGATGGGATGGTTGTATTTGTTACCTTTCTCTTATCTAGAATTTGGAAAGTTTTTCGGAAACACCCTTTACAACAACTCACAAAACACAGCCTTTGGTGCTTATTTTAACTCACTCACATTTGCTGCAGGGCATTGCATGATATAGTCATGTAAGCTGGAAAGTTCGGTAAACAAACTCCAGCACCTGTTGGATTGGTTTGGCCAATCGGCCAACTGCTACATTTGGTCCACAGATCAATCCAATGGAATGAGTTCATCATTTGGCTTTCAATTATCATACTCTTTAGTATATAGACATTACCAAAAGGTTAGGAGGTCTGGTAGCCACTAACTATGAAGGTTGTGTGTACATGACAATCACATGATATAGGCATTGGCGAGGGCTGGTTTAACTCACAAGCTTTCTCATATCTAGTGGGCTCTTGAAAAAAAAAATTCAGAGTATCTTACCGAGATAGTGCCTCACAACCAGGTGGGAAATCATATCGGTCAAGATACTGCAAGCTTGGTCAAAGCTTGGGATAAAGCACTGTTTGCTGTCAAGTTGAACTTGGTTTCAGCATAGGTCTGGGGTACATTCTACACATGTATTCTATGATATATCCAATAGAAGTTGTGGTACACATCAACATGTCTTGTAACCAGGTTGTGGTACATATCTTCCGTACATATCAACATGTGTTGTAACAAGCTTCCAACCAGATCTATGACCGAGTTCACTGATGGCACTTGAAAGCAGGTGCTGAGCAAACTCCCCTGGTGATTGTTCCTTGCAGTTGTACCCATCACTTCTATTGGGACCATTGAACCTAGGAATGGCGTGTAGACCATTGTCCACGTAGATGCTGAACTGTCACATGTTTGAGGCCTTATCTTCTCGATCAGCTCCCTCGCTTCCCCTCTGAACACAACCTTCATCAACACCAATTTTTTGACCCTCCATTGGTTTATGTAAAATATCATTTAAATCAATCTTATATCAGGATCTCGCGATGGAATGCATTTCTATCAGATGTGCTGTACCTATGTTACCGCCTTGCCTAAACTGTTCTGACCCCTGGCGAGAATTTTGTTAATTTTTGCCTTTGCACCAAACTTTCTTCCTTTTTGAATAGTTTAGCGCACGGCATTGAGTAGTATTCACCCTGCATATGTGCTTGGGCCTAAAAATGTGCCTCTGCGCCTGTTACATTGATTCTTGCAATGGATGTTTGCCTGACTTCGGCTGATACATATTTCCCATCCTCCTTGACCGTGGCTCGATTACTACACGTTGTACACATTGAAGTAGTGCCTTTTGTCCCTTAAATCTGTCTTTCTCCCCCCTCTCCATCCCCACGGTTTTCTTCAGTAACCGTTGAGATCTATTGTCCTCTTCATTAGGATCATCTACTATGGCTGAGAAAGATAAATCCCAGAACAGGCCCATTTTGTGCAGAAGCAATTTTCGACCCCTCCAAGATGTAGGTAATTGTTTTTTTTAAAAGATTACTCCAAGAATTGAGATTGTTTCATTCCATAGTCTACGGCGACCATCAAACCTGGTCAATTGTATGGGATTATTTCGACTGCAAGTTTTGTCACATGCAATGCTACGGACCCGATTGACTATCAAGTCTTACTCAACACCAATGCATCGGTTGAACATACGCTTTCGCCTTCCTTTGTCTACTCTTTAGCCGGAAGACTCCTTCTTCTCAACACTCCGGCTCCCCCAACGCTCAATTACTATTTAGATACGGTTTGTAAGGTTTGCACTGTTGAACACCATGTAGACGACACCCCGGACAAAACTTTCACCTCTGGACCAGGAATCGTTATTTCGGTGTTGAAACCTACATCTGAAATTACCAACGACTCCCAAGAAAACAAAAAGAAGGATTTGACCATCATCGTCAATCACACAGATTGGGATCCTGCGATTGAGTTGCGGCTTTGCTTTCCTATCAGATAATGTGCATTAACTTAAGCCCAAGACTCTTTACTGATACACATCTTGCACTTGATTCTAGGACCAAATCGTCAAGCCGTTTGACGTGAAATACATTATTCCTGCGACACCTAAGCTCACCAACACGCACAGTATGATTCGTGTGGGACGCGAATTCCACTTTGATGGATACTTGTTCGGCTGGGACATGAAAGAACACCAAGCCATTATTAAAGTGCATTATCAATTGAGTTTTTGAGCATTCAGCCCCTATTAACATCTACTACGCCTTGGATAGGTATTAGGGTTTAGCCCCTTAAATGTCACAAACACGGGATCCCAGCCTAAGAGCCAAGCTGCAACTCCTCAATCTAGCCCTGTAAACAGAGGATGCAAATTGTAAGACTTTTATTTCATTTTTAATGTTAAGATTGATACTGATTGTTCTATCCCTAGCGTTACATTTAGTGATGCTGGACAGCCTCAATTGAACGCCGAAGTCACTCCTGACTCTAAGTCTGATCCCACGGGGCTCTGCCAGGCGGGAAGTAGTGAAGGAAGTAGCGGACCGCTACACCAAACCCTCCATTCGGGTGATCCAGATGATGCTCCGTTGGCCTTAAGTGTTCCTTCAAAAGGTAAAAGTAAATTAGCAGAAGCCTCTCCACCAAACAAGAAAAAGAGAGGGGCACCTGGTGCTTAGCCTAGGCCAGCCTCTTTATCAATCATTAGCCCCTTGGTTCTTATGCTGCGTCCAAACGTATTTCTTATGATACAACCTTGAATTGTCTCTCTGTGACTCAGTATCACTTTAATTTAGCCTTCTGATTTTGGCACTTTGTACATTGTGCAACCTTCTCCTTTGTACCGCTCTACAAATGACTGCCTTTAACAGTTTCCTTGTTCATGTTTATTGTCCTTGATACTTCAAAGATACAAGGTGCTTAATTTCGGTGGATGCGTTTAGGCAGATGCCGCTATATGTTTTGCATCATCAATCTATACGGCCCAAAAACGTGTTTTTATTCTTGTGAACGTTTCCGATCTACAATGTCAAATTGCTTTTGTCAATTATTCTCTGTCGTTGATTCAAACGCACATGGATCAGTCCTACTTTCCTTATCCGGCCCTTTAGATGTTGAATAAAATAACGTCTAGATTTGCCTTATTTGATTCAAATGTTCCGAAAACCAAACACACATCTTGAATATCGAGCCCAAAAGCTTGCTGATTCTCAATTCTCTTTCAACTCGATTACACAAGGACTCAATCATGGAAACAAATAACACCCAAGACTTAGTTTCGCCCATCGTTGCACGCCTTTGGCCTGGAGGAAGACATGAATTAGCTCCTGGGAAAATGCAATGCAATGACTGCAAGGCTTTGCATTGGCCTGAGGAACGGGCTCAGATAGATGTCAAGCGAAAGCAGAACAAATTTTCAATTTGCTGCCAGAAAGGCAATGTCATCCTACCATCATCCGACTTGTCAGCTCCAATGGTGCCTAAGTTTCTTCTGGATCTGTTTACAGGTCACTCTGCAGGTGAGATCTTCAGTTTAGGTTAATTTGAATATGTTGCTAATTATTCTCTACAGATGCTCGAGGTTTTCAAAAATACATTCGGAGTTACAATAATTCAATATCCTTCACATCGTTAGGTTTTACTCTCAGCGATATGGCCTCGTCGATTCCTGGCACCCCTGTGTTTACTATACAAGGAAGCCTCAGCCATGACATTAGTTCCATTTTTCCAAAACCCAGGGAACTGCCTCATTTCGCACAAATTTATGTTTTGGGCCAAGGCGGCATGGCTGAAGCCAAATACCGAAAGGAAGTGGCTCTCCGTTCAAGGCCCTCGGCCCAGCTCAAAGCAAAATTGGATGCGAAGATTATATTCGAACTCCAAAGGTTCATGTATAAATTTAATCCGTATGCTAAATTATTTCAACATGGAGCTGAAGTCACAAGGGAGAAGAGACCGATATCCATGGTTTTGAAGACAATTGACACCGATTCGCGGGATATAAATCGTTACAATCAGCCAAGTCGTGATGATGTAGGTTTGGTGATCCAAGGGGATGGTGTTCCCAAAGATCCCCGACATATAGTCCTACACGAAAGGAGCGGTGGTCTGAAAAGTATTTCAGACCTCCATTCAGCCTATTTTCCTTTACGTTACCCCCTATTTTTTCCTTTCGGGTCGCAACAATGGCAGCCTGAATACCAATACCTTGTGGGCTCGGGGTTGGATCAACACTCCAGACATGTAACACAATTAGAATGGATGTCATACCTATTATTCAACAGGGCCGATCGCTTTTCTCCAATTTTAGCAGGAAAAAGTTTGCATCAAGAAATAGTTGTTGATATGTACGGGGGAGTGATAATCACACTCCACCCCCCTTCGCACACACACTCCCACACTCCCTTCCCTGAATGGAGTGTGGGACCGCACGCCAATCGAAATTGGCGTGCGGACCTGCACGCCAGCCCCCTGCGCGGGCACTACCCCAGCAGGTTGGCGTGCGGGTCCGCACGCCAATTACGATTGGGGGTGGAAGCTGCCGGCCAACCGTTAAGCGAGTTGCATCGTTGGAGGGCAGGCGTGCAGCTACATCCCATATTAGCGACCTAA